CTTCCCCTAGCAGCCTGACCACCATTGCAGCCCACCTTTAGAGAGCACGGCTGGACACAAAACATTCCTCTCCACCTCTTCACCCTGCCTGATTTCAGCTGGAGCATGTCATATTTGGGAAGATACGGAGAAGAAATACTTATGCTCACAGATGAGCTGAACTCTGGTATGAGTTATCTGAGTTTTTAAGCCTTTTAACAAGAGGCGCAATATGAAACTTTCTGGATACAAATGGGAAGAAAACGCTAGTAAAATCAGACCAATAAATCTGAATTCAGCCCACATCCTCCTATTTGCAAACCACCCCTTAAATATTTCTGGATTCAGTTTGGATCCCAGTGGTGGTGGAAAACTGAACTCTATTAGATTGCAGCATGGAAGAGCAGGAGGAGAGGAACCAGGTTAAACAGGCTCACTGTGCCTGTGCAGATGCACAGACAGTAGGCAACTGCATCCTGCAGTGTAGCCTGGCATGAAAGCCACGCCAACCCATGGGCATGCCTTTAGTACCTGTTGCACTGTGAACGCACAAGGGTGTGGAATACCTTCCTCTCAGCCTTTGAATGAAGTTATTTTCAGGCTGATTATAAAGGGCTCAAATCAAAAAGTGCCAGATCCACACCCGCAGGCTACCATGAAAGTTCAGTGCTGGAGGCAACATTGCTCCTCAAACTTGAGCACAAGTGATCCTCTACCAACTACCAAAACATAGATCTGTGGAGAAAATAACAGGCTGGACTATAAACTTTGAAAAACAGGATCAGATAGGATTGATGAAATTTCTGTAGCAGATTAAAAAAAAATAATAATAAAAAATCAGTGATTATCCTATTTCCATACATAGAGGGAAAGAAGTGTTCCTTAGAGAAAACAGAAAGACAGCTAGGTGCAAATAACTTGCTCCTTCACAAGGAATGGGACAGAGGGAGGAAAACACAATCTAGGTATATCTATCCAAGACTGCAGAAAAAATTAATAATTCCTCCTTGGTGACAATATACCTTTGCAGTCCCAATGACATTACAGCAACCTACTTGATGTAGAGACACACATAGATTTCAGCTATCTTTTAAAGAGGCACTTTTTTGATAGTATATAATAAAAAGAATCAGTTTCATAATTCATTTCACTTGCGTTCACCTCTAAAGTTAGAAACTGTGACCTGTATTTTGTAATTATTCCTTAAGAAAAAATAGTCAGTGCTAAAGAAAAAAATTGTTAAGTAAAACTTCAAGGTTTTCCCTAGAAACATCATTCTCCTGAAACAGCACTCCTAGAGGAAACTGCCTCATGACTAGAAGTTGCTGCCCTGCTGTTTTTGGTTTTTTTTTCCTATAATGAAGCCCTATCTCAGAAGATATAAGGTTTGTTGGTCAATTATCATCTAACGAGGAAACGAAGACGAGAAATGAGACTCAGGAATGTGGCTTCACGTACTAACTCATTTAAACCCACCATTGTAATTAGCAACTAGCTCGTTTAAACCCACCATTGTAATTAGCACTCGCACAAAATAGAACAAAGAAATTGGGAACATCAAGAATGCTTTCATCACATATTCTTGGCATTTCTATATTTGATACCCTCTCAACACACTTAAATGCAAATTAGATATAGGTGACTATATATAATAGCTATATATATATAATAACCCAGGGTAGTGCCTTTTAATTGATTGCAGGGGTTGGATTTCTGTGTGATCAATGACTAATAATCTTTGTTCTATCAGCAAAGATAAAAAGAGTAAGAGTCCCAAAGATTTTAAAGCAGACATCCTAGACAGTGCTACGATGGGACTTGTAGAGAATTCCTCTTTGTGAAGACTGAAGACAAAAGCAAAGGGACAAGTCTCAAAGTGTGCTGTTCCCTGTCCTATTGAGGAGGACAAATTTGGATGTTCTGGACAAGGAATAGTAACAGAAAGACAGAGCATGGATTTAAAAATCTTTTTTTCAGGAAGCCATAATTCAAGTAGGGTAAAAGAAGAACCCTCTCTCTTCAGATCCTCCAAGTGTACTGCCCTGGACCAGAGCTGAAATTGGTGGCCAGACTTGTTTCAATCACTGTAATAAACATGTTCCCTGTATTCTCTGGTGCAGTAAATCACTGAAGAGTTTAAGTGGGAGGAACTACAAAATTAATCTCCCATCCTCTCTTGCAGTCACAGCACTACTTTCCCCACAACCACATCAGAACCCTCCAAACAGCTGCCATGTAATTATGGGAAGATCATCCTCCAATTCAGTGAGCCACGTTCCCACCATACTCTCTCTTCTGTGCAAATGTGGACCACAATAAGTGGAATAGTTCCTCTGTAGCCATCTTCTTCTAGATGTTACGAAACAGCTTTTGGTGATGAGTCCCTGCAACTCCATATGGTATGCACTCACCACTGAATGACAGATGCAAGAAGCACACACGCTCCTGCAGTGCACACCAGCAAACTTTGCTGGTCCTTCTGCAGCACAGGAGTATGTATCATTGATCTGCGATGGCACCTCCAGCAAAGAGCCATGAGATATGACACAAAGAGAAAACGCCAACAAGTTTAGATGCCATAATTCCCAACCACTTAGAAAGAAAAAAGGGTGGTTTATGGAAGTTTCTGAGGAGAAGATTCAGAGGGGCAGATTCCTCCCCCAGAACAACATCCCTTCTTCTTTGTACTCTCTAGCATCCATCTTTTGAGTGGTCTGAAACAAGTTCTTTGAAACAGCCAGGAACCTCGCATGATTTCAAAAGCAGGTACAACTATTAAATAGCCCTCCTGCTTTCCAAAAGATAGTCTGCACAGACACTTTGGCAACTAATTAACTTTGTCCAATTACATGGTTTTATTTTCAGACCTGGCACCTTGAATTATCAGAGGAGACCAAGAATAGCCATGGGCAATTTACCTTTAAGGTGAAACAAGGTCCTAAAGCCTGTACTTCATTCCCAAGGACTTCTAAAAACTGCCCCATCTTGGCCCCCAGGTTTGACACATCATTAAGTTTAGTCTTGGCTGGCGCAACAGAAGCTCTATGGACAATTCTGAGAATATCTGTTCTTTAGGATTATTACTAGGTGTTTAATGAGGCAAATGTGTGATCCTATAATATGTAATAGAGACATTTTATTAATTGAAAGCTGTAATGTAGATGGTATTACATTAGAAACCTCACCTGTGTCGCACAAACACCAGCCTCGGTTCTCTGAGGCAAAGCTGTCACATAAGCAATCAACAGCTAAATAGGAAAGTTTACTCTATATCCCTCAAAGGCCCCCATTTACAAAAAGTACATTTAAAATATGCTCTGTACAGCTGTTGTCTTACCATTTGCCTTGTGCTGCACATCTGGCGGAAACTGGTCAGGAACATACCACTGATAGTCTGGCTGCATAGAACAATAAAACATTATTACAGCAATATGGACAGCATAGACTCTTCAAACAAAAGAACAGTGACATGATAAAAATATAATCGCACTGTGAAGTTTTTTATTAGTCATACAAAAGGAATTTACAAAAAAATCTTATACTTAGCTTTAAATTTCCACTGATCAAGTCTTTCAGCTTGCTCCCTTTTTTATTACTTGTGGTCTAGATGCTGCACTCATTAAAAATATTGATGCAACCTTTCTAGATCCCACAAATCAAAAGAAACATTACCAGAAACAAATCAGGTTTTAAAAGAGTTAAAGACTAAAGTGCACCTGAAGATACTAGCAGGCATCCCATTCTTGGTACTAAACAACCCCAGAGAAACCTGGTACACATGTACAGGTGAAGCTGTTCCAGTCTGAAAACATGTAACATCTGTAACACATTTCAATGTGACAAAAATAACCCACTTAATAAATTTCTCTCCCCTCCTTACAGGTTAGCATTAGTGTTACTATAACATTAGTTCTTCTCAAATAACTTCCTGAAAATATTGTGGGACGAGGAAAAATCCCATCTTTCTTACAAGAGGAAGTACTGGGAAGGTTATGTCCATGTAAACAGTTTTGTTCAGGGAAATCTTAGTAGAAAGAAATACTGCATTATATTTATACCACACACCGTGGTAAATGAGTAGCAAATTACCACTAGAGAAAACAATTTTGGGGCCAGACATTTCAGTTGAAGCTGTATTAAGCTATCTTAAGTTTTAGTTTAAGGTTTAAGTAGTACATGCAAGCTTGTCAAATTCCAGGTAATTACTGCTTCAAAATTAGTTAAACTGTGAAAATACTTCTTGTTTTGCAGAAATTACTCTGACAAAATCCTGAGTAGTCCCAAGGAGACTCTTACAGATTTCAACTTGTAGGGAAGAAATTTCATAATCTTCTTAAGAAGTTTTGCCTAAATTAAGATGGCAGGATGAAGCTGCAGACACAGAAAAAAGATTTAACCTTCTGCACATGCTGTCATTCATAGTTAAAAGCAGTAATCACATTGTCAGGAAAAAAAGGAGCTAACCTATTTTCACTTAAATTATATCATCCACAGTAATTATTAACTAATTCTGTGCTGGTGGGCAAACAGAATAGGCTTTGGTACACAGCAAGACTGTTTTGCTTTAAGCACAGGTAGCTCTTCCACCAACGGCTCAAAATATACTTATTTGCATTGCTTTTTTGAGCTTCTGTTGAATTTTCTGTTCTCTGATCTACTCTTCCGTAAGAACTTACACTACACAAACTTGAAATACACCTCTTCTTTCTGAAATTCATTCATGTCAGACTGAACGAAATGCTTCTGCTAACAGTGTAAAAAGGAAGGAAAAGGTGCAAGATATAAAAAGACTGAAAAAGCTAAAGCACAGACTAAACACACAGGATTACATACATTAACTCAGGACACTCATTAAATTCTAACACCTTTCCTCATTGCTAAACAAATTGCTCAGGGAGGTATCAAAAGCTCAGAGCAGCAGCGCTGCACTCGCACAGACAAAGAATTTCAAAGAAAACTCAGAATGAAACTGGGAGTTACAAAGCAACCAGTCAAACTGACCCCGGCGCTCCGGCAGGAATGGCAAAGTTGTAAACCTGGTGATCCCTCACAGAATTAGAAACCCAGATGATGAAAGTTCAGGGAGAGAGCCAAAATAATCTGGGACAACGTCCAAAGTGCAGTGAAAAACATTCCACAATACTTCCAACTCTGATAAATAGGCAGATAAGCACACTCCTGAAGCACAGAAATTACTTGCTTGACCACAGCTTTTCTGATGGATTCCTACAGCCTGAAAGCCTTATGTGTGTTTTGCAAAAATTCAGATATAATTTCTCAAATAATGAGCATCTTTCCATATGTGACAGCTTTATAGCCAGAAACAGATACTGTGCATTTAGAATGACATTCACCATGTGTAAACTAATTCTCGCTAGGTTTGAACACGCACAGCCCACACTGATAACCCAAAGCACTTCAGAAAAACCATTCATTGAAGCAGTGTTTTCCTTGAGATAGGTAACTCTTCCTCACATAACCTGCCAGAGAGCAAAGCTATTCTTTGTGCTGAGGAAGACAGGATCCTGTCGTGTGCCAGAAAGAAGGGCAGATTTACCATTGTGTTAGCCACACTCAGAGATAGTTTCCACTTCTGCTGAGTTTTTATTTATTTATTTATTTATTGGGAGTACACAGGCTTGCTTTGGAAAACTGCATTTTTGAAGCATTCACAGCCAGAGTGTCTCACCCTCACTAGGACCTTATTCCTCACGTAATCCTGTTTCACAGCAGTCTAACAGAAGGAAGATACTACTGGGTACAAGCAACAGCATCTGGGATTTTGTCCTTACAGTTTAAAAGCAGCATTCTGAATCCTGCCAATCCTGTCCCAGAAGGCGTGGGGGGAACCTGGGATTGTGCAGTCTGGCTGAATAGAGGAAGCATAAGTGAAGAAGAAGGAAAGTAATTTTCAAAAAATAGGGCCAGAGAAAGAAATACCCAGTGTAAGACATTGGAAATAAGACATTTTAGTCAATAAGCTTTCTTAGACCAAACAGAGGGAAGAGACCGGAATAAATGCTGACCACAGCTACTTTCTTCTTTCCCTTACTATTGTTTATATTGAAAGCCCAGAACTGGCTCCACAGAGCAGATCCATATTTATGAATTTGAGTACCTATATAGCTAGAAAGGGCTCTGAATGTGAGTCGTGGAAGTAAATTAATCTAAGAAATCAGCAAGAGTCCAATCAAACTTTTTAAATTAAGGAATGACCACCAGTATTCATTGAAAACAAATGTATAATATCCCTTTTTTCTTCTTAGTGGTATTGTAGATAAATAGTATTTGCCAAAGTAAATTCAAAATATATAAGAACATATACTTAAAGTATATGTCATCAACCATATATTTAAATCACTGCATTTTTCCCCTTTGTGCAGATTTCTGTTGGTTATGCTTTAATTTGCACATGGCAGCACTTTGTGCAATTCAACACCAAAGCACTACAACAGCAAGGAAGAAAAGAATATGGCTATCAAAGAGAAAATCAGCATTTCTGAGCAGAGTAAGGGAAGAGAGACTGCAGAGAGAACAAGAAGACTTTTCCAGACATAGGACTAATTCTAAAACTAATACAAAATCTTAATCTGAAACCAACAACAAACTGGGAAACAAAAGATTTAGTTACTGGTAAGGACGGCACTGTGGTAGCACCATATTATCCTCCTGTGGTCAACACGCTGTGAGAAAATCAGCGCCCTTGGGAAATGGGAGATGGCGGGAACCTTACCGAGTGCTGCTGCTGTTCATGTGCGCTGTGAGATGCTGGGTGTGCTCGAGGATCTGGATAGTGAAGAACCAACCCACAACTTCCGTAATTAACACATGGTGAGAGGAAGAGGGGAGATGGGTAGCTGGGCCTCTCAGACTGTATTGGGAGGTCTTTTGTCTGTCAAAAAATAAGAAAAACACAACAAAACGCATTATTAGCTAGATGCTGTAGCAGGATGCTCCATCTCTCAATATGCCTGCCTCAGTTTCCCCTCTATGATTCAATTACATTTGTCTCTCCATTTTGCAGGCCCAGGCCTGGAGTGGAGAGTGGAAAGATTCCCATGGGAAATGAAAGGGCCTAGCAAGCTCTGAGCTGGTAACAACCTTGAAAGATATAAACAGAGGGCCAAGTTAATGTTCCTGTCTCTGGTGCTGAAGAACAGAAAGCCCAGCCCAGGCACAACTAGGCCCCAAACAGAGATAAAGAAAGAACAAAGAGATAAACAAAAAAGTTTGCTTGGTAAGAACAAGGCCTTCATGGTTTTTCCTACTGTTTTCCTTTTATTCTCCAATAAGAGATACTGGAGATACAGCTAAATAGTTAAATGACAGCAGTCAATCCACTTTAATCTATAAAAGGCTGATCCCATCTTTGATCAGAGAGACCTCCTGTATACTTTCCCAGGAGGTTGCTGGACCTTCTCCTCTCCAGTGGGGCCACCTGCCAGAGAGATTGATTCTCAAGAATTAAGACACCTCAGGGACACCCAGCTGCAGCCAGGCAAGGGTGAGAGATATTAACTCCTTTTTTGTCTTTATTAGCACACTTAATGTTAAGCAACTGCTCATCATTAAGTTTTAAGATTTTAGAATCCTTTTAATGTTGATAATTACAGTTCTAGACCTATTGGAAAACTTAGTAATAAATAAGTTGCCAACATTTTTAACAGTTAACCTTTATTGTTTGTTCTAACTACTAACAGTGTATTTTATTGTTAAGATTACACTTCTGTATTCTAACCCTAGCTTCTGTTCCCATCTCCCAATTTCCCTACCATTTGTCTGTGCTTGTGCCTTCTAAGGGTTAAGACCCCACTGTCATATACAATAAATTTCAATCAGTGCTTATGCCCTGTCTGCCATCCCATCCTGTTCAGGACAGATACCATGACTAATAGAATATTCCAATACAAACTAATCAGCAAAAAAGCTACAGGGAAGAAACTCTCCTCTCTCTCAGCATGGGTCATACTGCTGCTTGTTTAACCCCTTCAGATTCTTTATGACTTAAAAAATTATTTTAAAAAGCTGACTTGTGCCACGCCAGAGTCTTGACACTTTTTATGTGAGAAAATATTGGTTTCAAGATATGGCAAGCACATTTCTGGGAGTTTTGTACATTCAAGAAATATTTCATTTGCACACATTAGCTTTCAACAGTTTGAAGTACAACTACATGGACAGGCACTTGTATTACAAGAAAAAATAATAATTGGTAAAGGACCTTGAAATTTGGATCTGCCTTTCCTTAGGCCCTCTGTGTCCCAACAGAGTGAACGTGAATTTGCCTAAGGACAGAGCAGGGAGGCATAAAAGATGATTAACATTCTATGAGTCAAAACTAAATAATTTGACTTAAGAAAGCAAACTAATAAATATTCTGTATTGTTCCTCTCATGTTTAAAATCTCTCACAAGCTCTGTTTAATCAAATCCCAAGGCCAGAAGAGACAAACAAGTTGATCTCTAGTGTAAACTGCCAATGCAATGCAGGGATAGTCAAGCTGCACGTAGATATTACACAGCATTTGTACAGCCCTTGTTAAGCTGTAGGCGTGCACTGAAGGTTACTGCATGCAATACCAACAGGTTTGTCCAAGGTGGTTCTATATGCCCTGAGGGACAAATAGAAACATAGAATGTTTTGGGTCAGAAGGGACCTTCAAGATCTTCTAGTTCCAACCCCACTGCCAGAGACACCTCCCACTAGACTAGGTTACTCCAAGCCCCATCCAACCTGGCCTTGAACGCTATCAGGGAGGGGTCAGCCACAACTTCCCTGGGCAACATATTCCAGTGTCTCATCACTCTCACATTGCAGAATTTCCTCCTAACGTCCAACCTAAATCTCCCCTCTTTCAGGTTAAAGCCACTTCCCTTATTCTCTCACTCCATGCCCTTGTAAAAAAGTCCCTCTCCAGCTTTCCTGTAGCCCCTTCAGATACTGGAAGGCCACTACAGGGTTTCTCTGGAGCCTTCCCTCTCTGAAGGCCCCAACTCTCTCAGTCTGTCTTCATAGAAGAGGTGTTCCAGCCCTCTCACCATCTTTGTGGCCCTCTTCTGGACTCAGTCCAACAGCCCCACATCCTTCTTGTGTCGGGGCATTCCCTGTGACATTGTAATTCTATGCTTGCATGAAATGCTTCCAAGTACCCATAAAATCACTGGCAAGTCTGGGGCCTTACTGCAGCAGTACCCAGAATGCCCGACCTGCTCTGCACTCCCACTAAAGCCGATGGCAGCAAAGGGCGGCTGACGGCCCCTCACCTCGTACCACTGCAAGACTCTCCTAGTATCGATGTATGGCTTGGTTGAGAATAAGCCAATGCTGAAGTTTCTGTTTCACAACCATGTTGGGAAGGAGAATAAATCATCACCGAACATTTTGGTATTTCATCATTCTTTTAAGACGTTGCACAATTTTGTCAAGACAGGAAACCTCAAAATTTCATCATTTTTAAATGGGGATTGAGAAAGCTCAGAGTTTTACATGCCGTGATTTTACTGTGGCTTCCCAAATGTCAGTGAACAGAATACTGACACTACTCTGAAGAGATAAAAAGGATGTAGCAACAAAAAATTATTGCAGCGGCTGCTCAGCTAATTTGGATGGAGACAAATTTTTTTTTTTTCCTCAGCAATATTAACATTACTCTGTAATTCCACTGCAAAGGTCAGGATTAATTACAGAAGCTTCTTATTTTAAAAGTTGGTTTGATGTTACAATTCTTAAATCGAGTGCCAGTGAAACAATCAACAGTCCTCTGGATTTGTTTTTGGTTCCCCCCTCCATTTTAAGATATGTTTGAAGAGTTTTTGCAATAAATACTCCCTTCATCTATTTAATTTAGAAGTAATATCTAATCATTTCTCATCTTCTTTCTGCATTACTTCAGAATGATTTCATCCCAGGTGGTGACCTCATATGAAGTCCAAAGTCAATTAATGGAAGCCAGAAAGCCTTGGGTTGTGTGGAAAGTGAGAAAATAAAAATAAAACACACATGTGTTGGCAGTGGTACCTTTCTTTTGACTCATACCTGAGAGTTTAGTTTATTCAGTTTAGACTGTAATCTCTCGTTAGTTTTCTGCAAAGCTTCTTTCTCCTCATTAAGTCTTTCTCTGTCAGATCTCTCCTTCCTGAAGTCTTCTTCATATATTTGTACCTGCAATCATTATGACCACATACGTGAATTTTGGCAGAGCCACAATGGAAATTTTCAATCAGTTTGTTATTCAGTTAGTTTTTAAACACTGACAAAGCAGTGAGGTGCATTGCAAAGGGATCCCTCCGCTTTCCAATTGTGCCACCAAAAATTTTATGACCAGCAAAACATGACAAGCAATGGCTATTCTACAATAGCTGCTGTCAATTGACACAGCCCACAGCTTCAGTATTCGCAGACCCTTGTAATTTAAGAGGCTGACTAGGGGATATCAGTTTTATGTGTTATAAATAAGATGCAAATACTAAAGACATTGATCTTTTCAAGGGATAAATAATAGCAGGACAAGCATTTCACCAACATTTTTTCCAGTTTTCTCTTCAATCATGAGCACTTTCAACTCTCTCCTGTACCTCAGATGCAAGCAATCAGCATCCTGCTGGAGATGCAAGGTGCTGGTCCAGCACAAAAAAACCTGACTTCTGGCACACAGTCTGACAGAGTGTTATCACCTTACCCGACCTAATTATAAGCCACTGTAACCAAACAACATCCTGCTTTTTTGTAGCTCGCTGAACACCCTTGGCCTTGAGCCTGCTTCGCTTTACATCTTTCTGTAATTGTCTGCAGCTTTACCTTACCCACTAAGCTAGCTGTCTAACTAAGGTGTGGCCCAAAGGACTCATCCCTGCAGATTAAGTGGTAGTACTTAGAGCAGTGGTCACATATTAATGACCAGAAAACGTGGACCAGTAGTTAGCTACTACTAGTAGTTAGTATTGTCAAGGAATTTAGACTTTGTCTAGAAAATAGTGGAAAAAAACCAAACCCTGTAGGAGACTATCATAGAACAGTTTGAGTTGGAAGGGACCTTCAAGATCATCTAGTTCCAACCCCCCTGCATGGGCAAGGACACCTCCCACTAGACCAGGTTGTTCCAAGCCCCATCCAAACTGGCCTTGAACACTCTCAGGGAGGGGTCAGCCACAACTTCCCTAGATAACCTGTGCCAGTGTCTCACCACCTTCACACTAAATAATTTCTTCCTAATACCTACCCTAAATATCCCCTCTTCCAGTTTTGATCCATTCCCCTTTGTCCTATCTCTCCATGCCCTTGTAAAAAGTCCCTCCCCATCTTTCCTGTAGCCCCCTTCAGATACTGGAAGGCTGCTATGGGGTCTCCCCAGAGCCTTCTCTTCTCCAGGCTGAACAACCCCAACTCTCCCAGCCTATCTTTGTATGAGAGGTTCTCCAGCCGTTGCATCATCTTTGTGGCCCTCTTCTGGACTTTCTCCAGGAGCTCCATGTCCTTCTTATGTTAAGGGCTGCAGAACTGGACACAGTACCCTAGGTGGGGTCTCACAAGAGCTGAGTAAAGAGGAAGAATCACCTCCCTGGCCCTGCTGGCCACACTGCTTTTGATGCAGCCCGGGACAGGGTTGGTTTCTGGGCTCCTGCGCACAGTGCTGGCTCATGTTGAGCTTCTCATCCAGCATCACCCTCAGGTCCTTCTCTGCACTGTTCTCAATCCATTCTCCACCCAGCCTGTATTTTTGCTTAGTATTGCCCCAACCCAGGTGCAGAACCTTGCACTTGGCCTTGTTGAACTTCATGCAGTTTTCACGAGGCCACTTCTCAAGCCTGTCAAGCTCCCTCTGGATGAGACCCAGATGTTAGAAACTGTATGTGGGGGGTTGGGAAAAAGGCCCATGTATCTCTTGTCTGCAAGATAGGTCTTCTTTTTCATCCTCTTAAACTGCAGCCTGAGGAACCTACTTGTGCCAGTGCAGAAGCAGAGGGGAGTATTACATACATAATTCAAAATGGAAATACAGAGGTTTGACACTGTTCCTAGAAGATAAGCTGCCTTTCAAACACTGAAGGATGCAATGGCTTAGCTGCTTTTCTGTCACCAGGAACCACAGAGCTTCATCCCATTAAAAAATATCTGACCACCCTGGGCACAGTCAGCAAGTGCATGAATTTAGAAGCAAATCACAAATCCGTAAATTAGTTGGTGTTAAGCTTACTGGCTTAACTCTTCAGCTAATGGGCAGGCATCCACCTGGTAAGGAGCTGGAGGTTGGTGGCACTTCTGACAAGCAACAGCAAAAGCACATTGGGCTGGGAACTGCCAACAGAACTTTCAGAAGTCCTTCATGTGCTCTTGGTTGGTCACTAAAGCCTGCTGCCAGTCTATTTTCAAAAAACTTGTTTGTTGTGGTTCATGCCCTGCCCATCATACAGATCAAGTTTGCTTTTTGCTGGCAGCAGCACTGACTTCACAGGAGGACTAAAGAAATATTAATACCTCAGGGCAAGAAAAACACTCAACAAAGGGCTCTATAAATTATTTTCACAACTTGCCTGTTGCAGCTAGTTTTTGCAAGGTACTTTTTTTTCCAGACCCCATGGTCTCCCAGTAGGTCTAACCCACTCCCTGAGTAACACTGTGTAAAAGGAACAAAGGCTTTCTGTGTGGCCCTGTGGGGACTCAGCTCCACAGCCTGTGCCTGGAGGAGGCACACATGCCCCTGACCCTCCAAAGCAGAGGCAAAGTTGTCGCTTGCAGAAATCCAGGTCTCTTGTATCCCTGTCCATCTACACGTTTTCCTCCTCATTTCTTCTCTCCCAGTTCCCTCTCTGCTGTCCCACTGCATCTCCCCAGTACAACCTATTGAAACTGTGAGGGAGCTACTTTGTCATAGTTCTGCCATATACTCCGTCTGAGACAGATGGAGACACCTCCTAAGAAATGAATGCCTTCATCTCTTCTGTCATGGCCAAGCTCTGGTGAGCCTCTGTCATATTGCTGTTTGTCCCAAGAGTCCCTCCTCCATGCAGTTAGAACCTTCTGCTCCATTTCGTGCAGAAGGAAGTTTGGACTCACTGTACTGATTTATACAACTAGAAAAACACATTAATAAAATGAATACCCCATGAGAATTCTGGAAAAAAAAAAAAAAGGTTTACTTGATTTTATTGTGTAGAATGAAATTACTCATTACTGTACAATCAAGTGCAGGATTTTATTCTCCAGCATGTGGCAAGCATTACATTAGAGAGCAAAATCTGGCTGTGCTGTCAAACGTGACAGAAACAAGTATTTTATTTCCATTGAATAAAATTCCCATTCTGATCACATCCATTTGTGTGTCAATTATGTTAACCCTAACACTGTCCAGGATAACAGACATAAAATGTAAAATTATCTGAAAAGTATAAGGTTTTAAAAATCTTTTTTTCATATGGAAAGAAAAAGAGTGCACAAAGCACTTGAATTGCTCAGAACAAAGATTAAAAAAAATAAATACACTTCTCTGTAGTGACTGGTATGCAGGTTATGGATGGAAATGTTTTGCCTCATACTTTGAAAAATTCTAATACCCACACTCTATAGCTTTCCAAGACTAGGATTCTTAGACAATTCACTAAACTTTCAGCTTCTAAGAAAAAAAGGAGCAGGAGACATGATTAGCAATCCCTATGGATTAAATTCAGCCCCTATCAGAGAGCTGGAAAGACATCTCCAAGGGTCAGGAGAGCCACTCTGCTGCTCTGAGTCCTACACTGAGTCTTTGCTCCAGTCCTTTGCAAGGACTCAGTTTCACTTCATGGACACTACTGTGATGACAGCATCTTCAGAAACACCATTTGAATGGGCTACAGCTAAACTGGTTCTTCCTTTTCAAAGTTCTACATAGCAAGTCTAGCAGGCATAACTCTTGGAAGGGCAGAACTATGCTGTATGAAACCCACACATGCTTACTTCCAGCTGTCCTCACCTGCTGTCTGAGAACTTCAAGTTGAGTTTTCATGTCCTCAATGCTGTTCCTGTCACCCTTCTCTGAAGAAGTTCCAGGAACAGGTGAGTGCTGCTTTTTCAATGCATCCAGAAGGGCCTGCAACGTCAAACAGCAAAATCACTAAATAGGGATTCACTATAATATCTAAACAGATTACAATGAGTCACAGACTTGCATGGTTTTCCCTTCACTTGCAGTTTCTTCAATTATATACACTTAATATAAACTTTGTGAATAAAATAAAGTCATGACTTGTTCAAAATTTTCAAAGTGCCTACCCTACATCCATGAATTTGAGACAGTGCCATTTAGGAGACTGTGCTTTTATTTTCGTTTTGCATTTACCTATGGAAATCACAGCAGCAAATCTCATTCATTAACAGCATTTCCCCATGCAAGTCAGAATCAGAGAAAACTAAGACAGGTGTCTGTACTCAGCTGAGGCCAAAAACAATGAAACAAAAAACCCAGGAACATAAAAGTGATATTTAAAGGCAGCCTAAAAACGTGACTACATTAAGGTCAGATGGAAACTTTTTTTTTTTTTTTTTCCACTAAAAGTACAAATTTCTTCAACTGGAACCGAAGTAAAACTAAAACCTCCAGTTGAGAGGAAGCTGTGCAGTCTCTATAGCTTGTCACTAGAGGGAGTTATGAATACACACACTACACTGGTAACGCTCTTACTCTATTTTTTAGTCAAATCCTGCCACAGTGCTTTGCAGATTTTGTTTAACAGTACTACACAACTCTCCCTTTGACTAGAATAAATTTTAAATGTCTCTTACTCCTCTCTGTCTATAAGCACACAATTCACTCTTTTTTACTCTAGCACAAATATTCCCCCATTCAGTACTTTTCAGTGTCTCTCACATAAGAATTCAACTCAGCTAACTTAATCCATTTTAGAAAGTTCAGTTCCTCATAACCATCCCCAGCTCTCCCTTGCTGGCCACACTCCATTCATGCAATAAGAGAAGGAGGGAAGATAATCTGAAGAGGGAAGAGGTAGAGGGGGAAGTGGCCAAACAGGAGAACAAGCATCTAAAATAATCCAAGGATTAGTATTAATTATCAAGAGGGCAAGAACGACAAAATAAGTAAAAAATAGCAGTTTCCATGGAGAGCACAGAAGAGAAAAGGGAGGCTTTTTATCTGATGAGCTACTGTTCCTAAGCATTGTGCAGAAGATAAATTGGTGTAATAGTGGCAAAGCTTGTGTGTGCCATGTCAATCCATAAGTGAGGTTGAACATAAAAGTGGGAGGGTAGACAGCTTACTGACTAGCCCTCCATTTTCCCCTTTCAGCCCCTGTTAAACCTTTTTAAGTGATGACATTGCAGTGCTCTGCATGAATAATAAAATAAATTATAAAAGGAAGTTTCACAAAGGTGTTTAGCTTGGGCATGGATGGCAAACAGCAATGAGAGTCAGTGAAGTTTGACAATATCATAAGACGTGTTCCCTAGCTGACTGCAGCCCAGATCCATTCCAGGCACATGGTTTGTTAAGCATACTACTAAGGACAAAGGCAAATGAAACATGTTCTTCTGCTACCCCCTGACTACATGGGACATATCTTCATCTTGGTGCCAGCCACAGAAACACCAGCCTTATCTGGGTGGCAGGGGACCTCCAGAGGCTCAAGCTCCTGCTCAGAGCCAGGCCAGAAAGGTCAGGTTACTCAGGGACTGTCTTCCAAGGAGAATGTTTTCATGGCCTCTCCAGGAAACCTCTTCTAATATTTGATCACCCTCAAAGGAAAATGCTTCAGATAACCTAATGCAAAGATAACTGTCTTGCTTCCCTCACAACACACCATTTTCCCAGTCATCTGCTGCACTCACTTTTTATATAGCTCTGTCTTCTGTTAAAGTCCTTTATTGGGACATATCTTACTAATCATGGCCATCCCAACATTATCAAATGGTAACACAGCTTTGCAATTAATTATATATATTCACATAAGATGTTGACTGTTCTATACATTCTCAAACAAATATCACTACATAAACATTTTTCTTGCAGTTCACTTCCTGGAATCATATCATGATATGGACATAGTAGTTATTTGGGCAACTCTTCAGGGTTTTTTTTGTTTATTTGGCTTGTTGGGGTTTTTTGAGGAGATTCTTCATCTCAAAATTATGAAGAAAAAAAAAACCAACAAGAAAACAGAAAAATCCAGAAAATTCAATCTTCAGAAGGCTCACAGTAGAGAAAAATAAGGTGAGGATTTTTTTTTAACCCCATTTGGAAGCAGCACTGTGAGTCTCCATTTTATAATCTCACATAAAATAGGAAACTGGAGCATGTATAATGCTGAATTTGTTCAGCATCATCCTAAGCCCACACCAAAATCTTTGAGGAAAGATTGTAAGAGTCATTCTGAGAAGTGCTAGGTATGGGGGGAAAAAAGGTAAAATTTTGTAATGCCGCCATTAGATCAATAGCAAATTATTAACAATTGTGTCATTACAGGAGATTTAGGTTCCCAAGCATAAAATGAACACTAAAGTTAATACTCAGAGTTGTAACCAGGATATTTATCTTGCAAAATTCCCATCACTCTGAACTGACAAAAGGTTGGGCTGCTTTAGAGTAATTTGTGGAAGAAATTAAGATATTAGTGTTCCACTAGTTTTAAGAAACAACTGTGAATAAGATCCTCATAAACACTTGAAATTAAAAGTTCATATTTTATATATGTAATTAAGCTTAGTAATTTCAAGGTAGCAAATCTGATAAATTACTAAGAACTTCTAGGCACCTAGAACTACTTTGCTTTCCAAAGCTACCAAAAGGACAAGTGGTGCATGCACCTAGAAACTTCTTAATCTAACCTCAAGAGTGTGTTAAGCTTGCGTGGAAATTTGGAAGACAATTGCCTTGTAGACATGAGAACTGGTATTAAGTAAAATACTCTTTAATCTGGTGTCTTTCATAAAAAACAGATTTTCTTAACAGGGGAACTAAATTAGAGCTTACTAGTCTATGTTTAAATAACAATTGAGATGGTGCTGCAGCAAATTATGAAATAAGTCAGAAATTTGGCTTGTACTTGAACAGCCACGGGAAAGCAAATAAAATTGGGATATAGTGTTGCAAACAGTTTTTGCATTGCAACACTACTTTCATGCTGCAGGCATTCAAAGTAGGATCAGATGGGACTCTGCTTTGGGTAGTCTGGATGACCAGATCAAAGCTGGATGAAGCAGAAAGTAAAAAGGTCGATGTACCTAAAGGAAAACAGTTAATGTGCTCAGAAACAAGTAGTAGTATCTTGCATGAAATGGGAAAGAAACAGCTTAAAATGACTGAGATGAAAAAAAAAACATTCTTATTAGCAGGCATAGATGTATTTTAGAAGATTATAAGAGATGGGTCATTTTAGCTAAACTGTCCTCTAGTGAAAATACAATTGCTCTGTGTAGCTACAGGGAAAGAGCAAGTGCCCCTGACAGCAATCATATTTTCACTAGAGGACAGTTCTGCTTCATGAAGGGGACAGAGATACCCTTGTGAGAAGCAGATCTGTTCAACACCACCACCAGAAGAACAAATTAACAACATCTGGCCAGACTAAATTAGGCCAATTGAAAGAGATTAAAGCATCTAATGCAAGAAGGGTTACAGCTCCAGAACAGCCTTCCAACAAAAGCACAGTAGAATAAGCTTCAGTATTTTTAAGGAAAGAGTTGTTTTGATTTTGGAGAATTTGTCACTGAAACTGCAAGAGCAGAAAACTAGACTTAAAAGGGCACAGAAGGTGCCTTCCAGTCTTACCTGCACTCATAACATGAGATTTGAAGGATGCAAAGTGACAGAAAATCAGTAAACTACTTGTTGGAAAGTGTGTTGCATGAAATTGATGTCTCATTTAAAAGAAGGGTCTATTCATCCATCTGCCTCAGTTCCAACCACACCGCAAGATACAAGAGCGAAATAAAATATTGAAATAAATTGTTTTACAAACAAGACCTCAAATGAAAGTTACACTGAGGCTTTGAGCAAGTCATGTCTGTGCATTTCAGAAAGAGCCAGTGTTCATATGTTCTGTCAGATTTTCTAATATAGAGACACTACTTTTTTGCCTTGACTTTTGCACATCATGGTCCCTTAGCTTTTGTATCACTTGAAGTTACATGGCAATGGTTACTGCAGTGCATTTCCTCAGGAAGTGTTTGTGGTTTACCAGGAAAAAAAAATTGTTAGAAAACACCCACTGCTTTATGTGATCTTTTGATTAAACAAAATTACATGTATTACTTTCCTTCAGTTAAAAAAAATAAATCCCGTGTTATTTATGTTATCTATTTGGCTATTTCATCAATGAAATATATATACATAATACTTACATGTATGAATATACATGTGTATTAATTTAAAAAGACAGGAACGTATCTTGTGAAGAGAAGCCATTATTCTCAAACACAGAGTAGATGTAAACCAACAATTTTTCAACTCTATTTTTTTTAATTACATTGTTTCACTATATGCATATGGAAGCATCTTTATGCCATTTCACTTTTGTTCTAAGGAAGGAGAACCTAGAATAAGCTTTGATATGATAAGCAGAGAGGTTTCACAGCAGAAGCCAAAGATTCTCTTAACTTTCCTCTTTACAATGCAAAACTACTCTCTGCCAAGAAGAGCATGGACAGGTATCAGCTAAAGAAAGTTCCTGCTTGTTTCCTCATCTCCTGAGCAGTGACGATGAGTTTGCTACCATGAACACACCGTTCACCCAAGGCTGAAAAGATGGGCATCTGGTAATGTCATCAGTTCAGAATAAAGACCCTAGAAGTAAAGTATGAGGTCCTGGTCAGGGGCTTACTCTTGTTCATACCTTATTGAGACGACTTATTTCACACTCATAGTGTTCTTTCTTTCTGACCATGGAGGCATTCTTCTGCTTGAGGAGCTTGTTCTCTTCCTTCGTTTCACGGAGAGCTTCACTAAGGACTTTTGTTTCTTTCTGGGATGCAAAAATAGAGAGATGCTGCTGAAATGCAGATGGAAGCATTTTTCCAGAACAATTTTCAGAATATCTGCTGTCTGGCAGATGTGCTGCATTTTTGTTGTCCCAAACACAGCTGGGAATGGAAGCAACAGGAAGGCGGTTGGTTAGTAAAACCCAGATATGACAAAGTCTATTGAAATAGTTTTGAACACTCACCATATGATGTGACAGAGACAACATACCAGACTAAATCCTTGCTCTCTACAGCCTGCAGTTGGACAAAGACATGAAAAAGCTGGCAGGCCAAGCAGATCAGTGCCACACAGATGATTATCCCAAATCTGCATTGTTCTTATGTACTCAAAGCATAAGGCCAGGGCTAAAAACTGGTGGAGTCCCAAGTGTTCCAAGTGTCATACAACGTTAAAGACAAAACCAGCTCTCAGTATCACATAGTCTGGGGGCTTTTTCCACTACACAAGAAACTGAGGCAGGTCTCAGTCTGCTCAATAATTAGCAAACTACCAACCAAGGCTTACAAGTCCACTTTCTTTGACATCATCACAGCAGCTGTTGTCTTGAGCTTGGGTCTTCCAAGTATGTGTGCCTATACTGTTGCCACCCCAGCAAACTACCAGGAAGATGCCCCTACTTGCACCAGGATTTACACACTATGTTGTTCAAGGTGGTATTCTAGTAATTATACTGACAGATAGACTAAACTTTGATTCTCTTCTCCTATCACTTTAGGCATGGCTATTTTCAATTTATGGTGAAGGGAGCTTAGATCTGAATCAAACCCTGAAGCAAGAGAAGCTTACACAATACCATTTGCAGGGTAATACATTCTTCAATAGCCTGCTTTTGACAGACTGTCTTAAACCAAAGTTGTTTAGACATATGAAACAGAATGGCCTAATCTACAAACAAGCAAACAAAAAAAGAAAGAAGGAAAGTATTCCAAATATTCTTCTGCAGCTCCTTTATCTGAGTGAAAAAAATGAGATCCAACAATCTCACACACAGGACAACATATGGATGTTGTTTTTTCTGTGCAACAGGCATATCTCTGTACAGCCAGCTAGTTTGAAGATTTTAAGGTTTCAGCACATGAGAAGTGCATCACAGTCAGCTATGAACAGCGCAGGATAACTTGAGTAACAATCCTTGTTGCTCATTCAAAAATCTCTACTTCTAGCAGCTACCTCTGCAAATGTGTAGGTCTGAATCCATGCATGACATCCAAACAGTAAAAGAAATTCAGAATAAATAGAAGAACTTACTGGCTGAGTATGTAACATGTAAAGAAATAGCTGACCTAAGGCTGAAGTTCCATGCAGGTTAACCTGTTCCCATTTATTCTAGTCATTTACTTCATTGTTCATGTATGCAGTTAAAAAATCTGGAGAGTGTAGTGTTCTCCCTTACCTCTTCAAATAGGTAGTTAGAGTTATATTTCACAGCTACCATATACTAAAGGGCAGGCAGCAAATACCTTAATAATATAAACAGGAAGATGGATTGTCTTGCATTGAATCCACACTCAGAGAAAATACAAGGAGTGATTCAACAGGCACATAACATTGTTTGCTTTAAAGCATATGAAAGTTCCTGTTGGTTGGAAATTAATCCTGTGCTTAGCTAAGACCATACTGTAATTAATAAGCAAGTAAGAGGAATGTTCTGCTTATGAAGATAAAAACTAAGGGATTTGCATTTCTTTTCCTGCAGTAGCTAACTAAAATTTCATCTGAGCCTGGAAGTGATGTGATTGCTGCTTGTTTTCAGGTTTGCTTCATATTATCACACAAACAGAGAAGCCCGACTTCATCCTTCAGAGCACCATCCAGAAACTCTGACAAGAGGGCATGAAGTGTATGGTAACATGAAGCAGAATGAGAACAGGAAGTGGTGCCTGTACAATGGGGCACAAAGTTTTGTGTATACTTTGGGCATCTACGTGGCGATCACTCAGGTTGGCGGTTTTACTGAAGTGGGAATTCAGCTTAGGGGTCTAACTTGATATGTGAATAGCTACACAAGAGCCTATGCCTAAGAAATCATGAGAGAGATGCCCAAGCCACTATTAGGGTGAGGTGAATGCTGTGTTAGAGCAGCTGATGAACTCAGGTGCTTTCAGCCCTAGTAACTTCACTGACTACATTCCTAATATTTGCAGGGAGCTGCAACAGTAGCACATGTATAAAAGCCTGTATTGTCAATACCAAAACATGCATGTCTGGAGCCAAATTCTTCCCTTCAAGTATTTATTGCCAAGCACTTCATGTAACATCTACAATTATGTTTCTATTCTACTTGAACTTACGGTAGCAGTTTCACTCACAAAGCAATTCACCCCAAACTGAACAGTGAGGAAGGAATTCTCTGCAGTATTTGTATCAATCTGCTCTTTACTCCCCCACACACATTAATGCCATGTTCTCCGACCATTTCTGTTGAAAAGGCTCCATACACCTATTTCTCTGATCTGACAGAAGATCAGCCACTCTTGGGTTCAATATTGAAGAGCACTCCACACCACAATCTCATCTCACAGCTGTGTGACAACCCACGCCCTGCCACTCTCAAGAAGAGAAAGAAGAAGGGCAAGACAGGGCTCCGTGCTGAGCACGAATGGGGTAACAGAGGGCACCCTCCTACCGTCTCCTGCAACGGCCTCTCCCTGCCCAGGGCTTGCAATCTCTCATCTCCTGGATGCCACCGATGCCTCTCTTCTTCCAGCTCACTGACTCTCCTCTCTGACACATCCAGTTTTGCTTTCACTTCTGCCAGCTGAAAAACAAGTGACACACCATGATGGACTGACAGGGAATCCAGAAAGGTACAGCTCCTGGAAGGTGCCCTGAAATCCTTCCCACTGATTGCTGTGAAGGAATGGATCTGGTCATGCATAAAGTCCCGAGATATTGACTTTCTCCTCCAGGCTCTGCTGCTCTGTCTGCAGTGGAGACTCCCAATGACCCCAAGCAAATTCTCTATTGGGATTATAACCCACTTGGGGCTTGCACTGCTTTTCTGCCAAAGAACAGTTACCATGGATCTGTCCCTACAAATGACTTTTCCATTTACTGTTCTTTCATTTTTCCTTTTGCAACTTGGACTCCCTCTGCAGTGGTGCACTTCTAAACGGTCTAGCCAGAGGCACAAAATGGTCACATTCTAAATGAGGAAGAGCCATTTAAATTCCTCTTCTTTGAGGAGGGGGGAAGAAATTCCAGATCTCAGTAAAGCTTACTGGAAAATATCAGAGAGAAAATTTGCCTGATAAGCACGAGGTCATTTACAAACTTCCTTTTCATAAAACGAAACAGGAGATGAGAAGTGTCAATGAACCAACTTGGCTTTTGGAATACCAGGCAAAATTATAAGCAACCAATTTCACTGGGCAGCTGATTATAATGTCTGCAGCAAAGATGCCACAAAGCCACACGCAGGGAATGAAAGCTGTGCCGATGGGTCTTAACCAAAAGAAAAAAAACTTACCTTTAGAGGTCCCTTCCAACCCAAGACATTCTATGATTATACAGAAAAGTATTTATTTACTTTTTTTTAAATTTTATTATGAGCTTTATTATAGGGCAGTTTCTCAAAAGTAAAAAAGTATCCCTGCTTATAGAAGGCAGCATTAAAGAAGGATTTATCTGAGAGTTTCCCCACCACAGGCAGCCCCAGTGAGCTTCCAGGCTTCACAAGCCAGCCATAAGAGAAGGGACAAGAACAAACAATGAGATGACGATGCAGATCAGTGGCCACGCACACCAGACCCTGCAGGCTAATTTTCAGTCAGTTGTGGTCTGATGTATTGAGCAATTTTTGTTACTTTGTGGAGGACATGAAGTGTCTGCTGTTAGGTCCCTACTTATTCAGGGGATGCCCTCCTGCTCTTCTTATTTTGTCCTACCTAAGACTGAACATGCATTAGCTTCACTTTTGTGTGATAAAGATTTATTTAACTAGTGAGCTAAAGACAAAGTAAACATAATGCCTTTCCTCCCTAAGATACTTCCTATAACTATGGCTGGTTGGTATTTAAGCACAGACTTAACTATCAGCTGTGACAAATATATTCCAATAGTAGTAGTCAACATTGTTACCTGTTTTTCATAAAGCTGTTTCATACGTCTGAATTGATGATCCCATTGCTTGTTCACCTCCAGAAGCTGTAATTATCAGGAAGTCACAGTAAATATCCCTTATTTTAACACTGTCAAATAACTAATGAACAGACAGGCGCTCTAATCCTCCAGCTATGAGTGTCCACAGCCTTCTCACTATTTGACCAGTTCATTTCAGAAAAAGAAAGTTCAAGGTTTGGCAAACTTTACAGCCCATCTGCCAGCGCTTTGGTATTTCAGTTAAAAGTATGTGAACATTCAGGAAGTAACAGAGAAGACACGCAAATACAGAAGCTGCAAGTGAATAATTTGCAACACCGTACAAATTCCAAGCTGTAACTCCTAAATGGCCAAGGACTTCCATGTTAGTTTGCTTCAAGATCCGCAAATATATTTTCAGTTAGAAGGTCCTGGATTTCAAACAAGTGAATTGAAGACTCCTATTGACTGCACTTACCACTGGGTGCAAACCCCACTTGCCTTTCTCAGTGTCACTAAACTAAGCAAGCACAAGCATGCACATGCAAGGTGGGCAGACTAGCCAACACCATGCATGCAGGTGGTAGGAGTGAAGTCAGTTTGTGTGCATTTTGATTGGAGAAAGCCAAATATGACCTTCTGAAGCATTTTCCTTTGTAGGATATAGGGTCAACCCTTTATGATGCTCAGCAAATGAATGACTTCCAGTTTGTTGCTACCTGTGACAAAGACACCTTTGGCTCTTATAGTGGTTCCTTGGCTTTTACAATAGAGCTCATTAAGAAAATTTGCCCTTTGTACTATTTAAATCTCTGCTCTTCTAGGTTCATAGCCATGTTACAACAAGTCATCATTTGTTTTTAGGGACAGTTCTCCAAATATAACTCTGCCTAGCTTGGCAGAGAGAAGTAGGACTATAGGAACATGTTTAAACATAAGTTTAAGTGCTAGCACACTTTTGAGCTTAAAAGAAATGCAAAGCAGAAAGTCTCCACAAAGAAACTGTGTGCAGGATGAGATTCTTCAGGAAAAACACAGGCCTTGCTGGACTGGAAGGTAAAACCATCTGTAGCATAAACACGGTGCAAACAACAGTGATAAATCATTCCGCGATTTCCTGTCCCAGGCATAACTACTGATACTGCAATGTCTGTCTTCAAGGCTTTGTATGTAAAGGTTAAGGGTAAACTTAAGATTACCTCTTGCCTCTGTCTTTCCAGTGAGAGAATCTGTTGCTCAAGAGAACTGGCCGATTTAGTTTTCTTTTTGGTCAGTAATATGTGCCTTGACTGGAGAAAATAAATGTTAAAAAATTAATGCTTTCAGCATCCTCTCTTCAAGTTAAAATTATCATATAAAGCTCCAATCCACCCTGTCATGTGTGTGTAAAGAGGCTGAAACTTAACATTTTCTTACATTTCAATTATTTCAGTACCTTTACATCTTCTGACATCAGATTCTGAAGTGTACATCTGCTTCAACGCTGCTCAGTCTGTGTTCTAATTGAAGCATTATGCAAACAGAAACTGAAATAAACAAAATTCTGTCTATTTGTACCATCTGAGGCATGAAGCACAAAATAGGATTTTAATTATCTTACAGATGGTAATACAAACAAGTAGTACAAGCCACAAAAGTTGAGCATAAGTTGAAGCGGGTGTAAGTAATACCCTTCATTTATGAGAACTAGGATAATTAGCAGTATTGCCCCTGGTAAGTGCTTGCAGACCCAAGGCAATAAACTTTAGCATAATGGGTTCAAAACAAGCAATACAGAAAATAAATAGGCCTTTCAGAGAAATTTGGAAATCAGTCTGCAATTGTTCCATTTTTTAAAGCGTGGAGGTTTGCCCATGCAGAACAACAGCACCTAAACCCCTCATTTTTATCATGCTAATGTCATATATCATAATTTCCAAGAAGTTTCTACAGACTGTCACAAAAACAAACATGTGATTTGTTAGAATATATATAGAGAGATAAATAAATATTAGGAGAACTGTACTGGAAAAAAAGGCATGATTGTTTTTCAAATCTGGGCCTCAGGTGCATACCTTATGATTCCTATAAAAGTGTACAGGACAACTCAAAAACTTAATAGCTATGTATACACTTGGCACCAACTAGCCCAAACACTTCTAAAAGTTGTTGGGTCACTAAAATTAACTACTTTCTACCATTTGTGTAACAACAAATTAAAATAATCAGATAATTTTAGAGTGTAGGAAGGGAAACCTGCTAGGGAAGGTTATCTTTCTACAAGGGCTGTATCCAAAAACATTTCTAACATTTCCTCCTTAAACAAGATAAATCATTTGGACAACTCTACTGAACAAAGAAATGAGCCCATAATTGTCAATCTACTAAGTGACACAAATGGTGGCTGCACCAGTTCAAGCCATTCTTGTTCATCAGACATTACTTCAGAGGACAGCCAAAACAGTCACTTACTTCTAGTGGATCTGCTGGGGTTTCCATGTCACTCATACCTTCCCATGCACATCCAAGATGGCCTTGAGCATTTGTTTCATTACGAGTCTTTGAAGAAGAGCAACAAACCAGATATTTTACATTAGCTAAAGGAGCAGAAGAACTGCCTTAAGACCCATAAGATCCACGAGTGCTGTCTGGAAGCAGCAGAGGTTCAGAAATAAGTGATGGAATTCTGTTTTCAACCTTTTCCTCCTTCCTTGCTGGGGCTTCCCAGAGGGGTTGAAACACACTGCCTATGACTAATATGCTGGGCAAGGCAATAGCGCCTTAGTGTGCATGTAAATCACAATTGCAACCCACTGGCCAGTTCACCCCAGGAGAGGAAGTTGCACATCTAAGGGAAGGAAGGCTATATTTTTTCAGTAAATAAGAGGACAGGGTTTTCTATCCCTGCTTCCAGTTGAAAAAAAAAAAAAAGGACTTATGTAAGCATGACAAGTATTAAGTGACACTAGGACAGTATGAACTATCATGATAGAAAAGTCAGTGAGTCATGCTTCTAAATAATAGGCAAGTCTGTTAACAGCTATGGGGAAGAGCACACCCATACTAACCCCAAGACATTTAGGGGAAAACCATGATTGGAAAACTGATTTACGTCCCGCTTTCCAGTTGAAAAAAAAAAAAAAGGACTTATGTAAGCATGACAAGTATTAAGTGACACTAGGACAGTATGAACTATCATGATAGAAAAGTCAGTGAGTCATGCTTCTAAATAATAGGCAAGTCTGTTAACAGCTATGGGGAAGAGCACACCCATACTAACCCCAAGACATTTAGGGGAAAACCATGATTGGAAAACTGATTTACGTGCCCTGAAGAAAAGTTGTACAGAGATGGACAATGACAGGTGTTGTAATTCTTCTCTTAAGGACATCATATCTGCAAGTTCTAGAAATTACCTTATCTATGCACACATCTAGCTTCAAGCTAGTCAGGTCTTTGCTTGAGTACTCAAGGTACCCAACACTTCAAACTTGTGTCTTAGTTTCCCATTTGGAAAGAGAGGTTAACCTTAATAAGTTAAACTCACAGAAAGGTTTAACAAAGAAAAGGCTTCCACAGGCTTCACATCCAAAGTCAGGAAAAAATAGAAAAGTGCAAAGTATTGCTGTCTTCAGTCTTGGCATTGTGAATAATGAAGGCTTTGAGAAGGAAGCATGAAAGGAAAACTATTTTCCTTATTGTGGAATGATCTCTGGGTCTGAGGCTTTTTCAGTGGGGGCAGAGGTTGCTTATTTCCTTTTCAAGAAATGGAATGAAAGCTAGCCTGTGATATCTGACTTAAATTAATATAAATCTGTGGGAGTTCTTTCAGTTTCCAAAAACGATTTAGACAAAGTAAAGTAATCCTGTTACATGCTGGAATTTAACACATTCCAGATCACTGGTTCGCAGTGTGTGATTAAGCAGCTCATCTTTTGCAAGATACAAAACCCAATTTGAATGAAAGCTATTATAATACTTGCATATTAAATATATCCTCCCCACCTGACGTTCTCTTTATTTTTTCCTGGCTTATGTAGTGGCTGGAAAATTTCTGGGGTATAAAGAAAAAAAAAACACAAACACAAAAAAAACCCCAAATGTTATTTTAATAAAGGCATTTTAGATTCTACATAGGATTCATCTGACTCATCAAAAAATAAAAGAATTTCCCCTGTACTTATACCAAAACTAGTCTTTGAGCATATCCCTCCCAGGTACTGCATTGGTTTAAACCAGGAAGAACCACTGGCTGGTAACGCACCACAATTTCCACAATTGCAATACTTGACAGTTCTGCAGTGTATAATATACAGTAAGAAATATGACCCTGTAACTGTCAGACAATAAAACAAAGTAAACTTCTGTACCACCAAAGCAGGGTTGAGTGCAAGAGGAAGGCCATCCTCTGGGAAACAGACATGTAAGAAGGCCACGTTCTAAAGTGAAAAGAACTTAGTAATAGTTAAACTGTAAAATCCCCATAGTGCAGAAGGAAGAGGAAGCAGCACACATTTTTAAAAGGCGAGAGTATTATAATATTATCAAAGTTTATATCAAATCAAAGCTTACACCTAATGACTTCAAATCTCATTGCAGAAGTAGGCAATACCCCTATAACACACAGAGGGAAACTGTCCAGTTGAATGCTAAATGTCTTCCAAGTGTTAATGTCAGATCAGAGAATGATGACATCTCCTTTCACCCACAGTCTGCCCGTCTGCAGCAGCTGCATCTGCAGCACCCCTTAGCAGGCTGTCACTGCACGTTTTTGGGTTCTTACTGTACTAAAGTTATGGCACATGGGGAGTTTAGAGGCAGCTGCTGAAGGAGAGAATATGGTAGTAACTAGACACAAGTGACACGAACATCCACCATCTTCTCACAATGTCCTGCTACCTTGCACTGGCCTGCAACACTCCTACAGATTATAAACTCATGGAAACAGCCTATCTAGAAAATACCAACACTGAGAACTTCATAAAAATACAATCAGAAAACTTCCACTTTCCACACCTGCTCTCATGGACAATAGCCCTCAAGCCCAGACACCCTCCCTTATCCCAGCTCCCGGACTCAGCAGGTCCATCACCATTCCAGCAGCAGCTAAGCTGTGGGAGAAAGCGTAAGTTGAACAGCTGTGTTTTATGGTCTGGCCTGCTATGGTAAACCAGCCCCAGTTTCCTAATCCCTCACAACAGTGCACTGCAATGTGCTACATGAGGTGCTGAGCAGTCCCTGAAGCAGGGAGAGAAGAACAACCCCAGGGCACATCCCTACTCATCAACCGCAGCTCCCACTTGAAAGATGGTGGTCAAACTAGTTTGAAGAGAGGATGAGGCTAAGACCCTGGAGTGCACAGTTGTTACTATTATTCCATTCAAAAGTTTCCTGGAAAGCCAGGTGGACATTAGGACACCAAGTCCTTTGTTGATGGTATCTTAATTACTGTATTAATGACTACTGAAAGTGAATGATTCTCTGTCAGATTGGAGGATTTGAAGGTGCCATTTATATAGATTTTAACTGGCTTCAACACTGTTCCTTTCAGCATTTCTCCTTCCCATAACACTGTGAGAGAGCTGGGCAGAGCTAGAGCAAAAGGTGAAGATCCTGGAAAAGCAAAGGCTATAACAGAAACAGCAACTCCACATCTCTGCCTTTCCATGCGAAAACTACCTGCACATTTCATAGACAAATTCACAGTTTGTCTATTTTCTCTCTCTTTGAGCTTACTACAGTGACTGAGCAACAACAGCCATAATCCTTTCCCACACCAGGACTATGCGTAAGAGTTTTGAGTCGAGTTTTGCCATCTGCTGAAATAGGTGTTGTTTGGATGCAGTTTGGCATCATCACCAAATGCAGTTTATGGCCTCATTGATTTGGCACAACTTTCATCTAACATTGCATTCTTGTTTGAAAGATGTAGCACTCCCTGTTAGCCAAAAATAAGCTCTGAGCTAGCCATGCCTGGGTGGAAGCTCTTATCTTCATTACTACCCTTCACCCTAGATATACATGTTAAAAACAATGCCGTATTTTCATGCACCATCTTAGCTATTGCTCTTCACCATGAGCATTTCACACAAAATGCAACAGAATAGAAATGGCACTGAGTACTCTTCAGTGCCTAACCAGGCAACCTTAGCATCCATATGGATAACGCTGACACACATTTGCACAGTGCCTAAAGTCAAATGCTCTTACATATATTTGATAGGAAATACATTTAAAAGGAGACAATGTGGTATTCAGGAATAGTGCTGTTCAGTTGTGCAAGCAGCTTGAGGGGAGAGAGGTAACTTGTTCCATCCCTCACAAGCACTTTCTGTACCAATTGCCATGTTAAGAACAGTACTGGATATTGGAAAGAGCAGAATATGTCTGAAATCTATGTGAATAGAAAAAATTTCACTGAGTAGGGAATAAAAGGTCAAGCTCTTTTCACGTGGTGGTATTCTTCCAGCAAAAAACTAGGAGAAACTGAAATAAAATGGTTGTCTCTCTCTGTAAAAACAGTTAGTAGCACTGACAGGAGACAGACAAGGAGATGACAATACTAATTTTCTTTGGTATTGCAGAGATAAAGACAACACTACATTTGTCAGTCTGTTGCTAAGCAACAAAGAACAAATTAGTTGTACAACAGCATTACAGAAATATCCTTGAAACGTTTTCATAGTGAAAGATTTTCATTATTTCAAAAGACTTCTACATTTTCAGAGTGTTGGAGCTTCATTCTAGGAAAGGCTACGGTTACAGCATCACAGAACAGGCACTCACAAATTAAGATAATAAAAGCTACTTGTCACTTGTGAAAATTCTGTCTGGCAGTAACTGCAGTGAAACCAAGAACCTTTAAAATGCTTGATTCAAGTAAAAGTGTATTACTCCTTGATGATGACCAAATCAATGTCAGGTATCTGCTGTGAGGTTTGTCAGGTTTGTTTGTTTGGGTGGGTTTTTATCTATTGTACTGTTCAGTTGCAGAATTGTAGAAGCCAGATTTACTCTGAGATTACTTGGGTACTTCTGGGAAGCCTTCTGTTTGCTCACATTTTGATCAAGCTTTGCTTTTGGCTTTATTCCTGAAGCTGTTGTTATGCCAGCAGTGCTTGCTAAAATATTCATTGCAATCTCTTTTCCCATTCTGGTGCACATGGTGAAATGGTAAAAACTGAGATATTTTAGTTGAAGAATAAAATCAGCTCTGAAACCAGAAGAAGAAACTGCCTCTTCCTGTCTAAACCATGTGCTTCACTCAAAGAAGTGTGGTAGAAAGGGGTTTTCCCTTAAGTAAGTATGTCAGCCTCAACCTTTTTGTGCTGTTCAGTTAGGTTCTCACTCCAACAGAAAAATACGTGCAGATGCAAATGTGTGCCTTAATATGTGGGAACCGGATAAAATTAGAGCAAGATGCGGTTTCAGAGTCAGTAAAACATAGCACAGGCTTCTGTTGCAGGTTTTCCTTTATCCACTGTTGTCCATCATCCCCAGTGAGACTAACCGTAAGGGAACAGCTACTCAAGAACATACACGTTTGCAAACTGAAGCCTGATAATGACAATCTAAGTTTCATGCACAAATAATTGGATAATAATTTTTAACTGTATCAAACAGGCTATTTTTAGGCTCACAACATAGTTGTTGCAAGTCCAGATAGCCTTTCAATGAAATTTTTCTCTTTCTCACTTCACACCCAAAAGAGTTTAGGTGCTTGAAAGCTAACTGGAGTTTTTTCAACCAACTGATCCCATAACATACATTATGTCTGTCAACTTAACTCTACATTGACACGTGGCTAATTATTTTAGTTGCTATTCTTCCTTTCTTATTTTATACTTTTATTTGCCCTCACCTCCCCCAGAAAACATCCTTCCAGTGTGTAAAATCTTAATGAAGCCCTAAATATAGTGAAAACATTCTGCATTAATAATTTTTAATAATAGTTGGGTTTTTGATGCATAATATTTAGTCTAGTTTTTTCCAGTTGAATATAATCACCTTTGTAATTCAATCTGAAAAATGAAGCTGCTTTTTTGTGGTAGGCAATACCATTCTTTGATTTCTTACATTAAAACAGCAAATTGCTTGATCCTTTTGGCCTTCAGTTTCCCGCTCTGAAGAAGACAGAACAAGGAACCCTTTCCTTCCTGAGGCACACTTTGAGGACAGGTATTTTGACAGGGCCCCTGCAAGACTAGAGCTTGCAATCATTCTTGTTCTCATACTCTCCTGCTGCTCATCACAGCAGTTAAGTGGTGTTACAGAAAACAGGGGGAATAGATAAGTAGATGTGAATTAGAAATTATCAGTTGTTCTAATCAGTAAAAGATTTCATCATATGTTTTCCTTTTTTTGAAGATGGCTTTAGTAAAATTAAACACATCTGCTGAGAAGAGCTTAAATCGGTATAAAATAATGATGCCACACTAATGTCTTACCTCTCATTCCAGCTTACCACTTCAAAAAAACCCAGATAGCTTTCTCACCTAGACAAACTACATTTAGAGACACAGGCAACCCAGTATTTTATATTAGGCAATACTGACACAGTGTTCTGTGTGCAGTGCTGAAGTGGAAATAGCTGACGTGAGCACATCTTTTTCCTCCTCACAACCCCCAAGTCCTTTCCTACCTCTCCTCTTGTTGGAAGAAGGCTAATGTGGGGGACCAGGTGTTTCCACAGATCAGCTGTGGCTTGCTGTTGTGCCCTGTCGTTTCATAGCTCAGTACTACTTGGATTCTGCATTGTCTTCTGTTTAAGCATACTTACTCCTCTCCTGGGGCCAGGAATCCCCATTCCTCCCTGTGGTTTCCTGGTTTCCCTCTCCCCGTTTCTAATCCCACTAGTCTGACCCTGGGGCATCTCCTTTGGCTCAGCTCAGCTTCACATCCTGAGGTTGTGAGTCATTTTGGAGATGGTGGTTTACATGTGAAAGGAGCTATGTGTAATTTTGGATTTCATAGAAGAGAGTCAGTCATCGCTCCTTCATCTCCTCATCCATTTCCTGCATCACGCCTCAGGGAGCAGCCTTCAGAGGTTTCCTCCCCCTCCTCCAGCCCCCGACTCTGTGGTGAAGTTAAGACAGCCAGGTAAGAGTGTGACTCCTTGCAGGTGGATGGCAATCACTCCTCTCTCCCTGTCCTGGTTTGCAGAAAACAGGAATTTCCTCTTGTTCTCCTACAGTACGGTAAGCAGCTTGCAATTTCAGGGCAGAGGATGGAAACTGAGAGGGAAACCTAGAACAAGTTTCTGTCATGCTTGTTAACCACTGCTTCACTGCAAGCAAAGAGAACCATCTTAGCTGGTGGCTTATGATTTTCTGTTTGTAATACCACAGAAGCGTGGATTTGAATCATCATTTTTCTTCTTCTTTCTTCCTATTTATCTAAAAGCCTTTCTCATGCTCCCAAAGATCTTTGTCCCCCCACACCTCTGCTCACCATCAGTTAAATCAGAACAACCAAACAGCCTAAAGAAATGTCAGTGTTCTTGAGGTGTGCAGTATTTTTGGATCTGTAATATTCAGAAGGCACAGCTGGCTACAGAGGGTAACACTTTGAATAACCAGTAGGTTTAGTTTATCTTTTAAAGCACTATAAACCATATCTTCTCTCTTAGTCTTCTCGTAACAGAAAGAAGTTGCATATGAAAAAAAAAAAGTGTAGGAAGTTTATTGCATAATTTCAGAAATCAAAAAGTTTCATGCATAATCAAGTCACCAAGGGAACATCCCCTGAATGTTCTTTCCTGGCAGATCAACGTTGCAAAAGCAGACTGAGCTTACCTTAAGGGAACACAAAGTTCTCTGATGGTCTGGACTCTCTTGGGCAATAGGTTTGGGCTCCTGACACAACTGATAAGTGTTATTCTTCTCTATCAGGTTTCTTATTTCAACATCAAGCTCTTTACTTTCACACCTGTTTGGAAAGAAATAGCAATGTTACATATTCTACCAAAACTTGAAGTGCAGAGAAGGTAAATTTGTCATCTGCCTTCTGAATGTGAGAATGCAGACAGCAGTGGCAGTCTGCATCAAGCTCCTGCTGCCTTCCTTCCTGGTATGCAGAGAGCAGCATCAGAAAACCTTTAAGTGCTTTGTGGCAAAAATTGATCTAAAATATTTAAACACTCAGTCCTTATGAATTTAACTACCTTATGCCTACAAAATCCAAGTCAACCCTTTGAGGGATTATTTGAAGATGGGTCATGTGCCCTCAACCCCACTCATCTGCCCGCAGTTTCAAGAATTTTATATCCAGCTTTAACACAAAATGCTACCTAAATTATTAAATTGGTTTTGAAGTCCAAAACTAGTGCTCAGTTCACAAAGATTTTTAATGGCACATTTTGTTCTCTGTAACACTTAATAGATACCTGACATGCATTTTCAATAAAATGATAAAAAGGGGAAAAAAAAAATTAAAGGTTGGATCAGATGATCCTTGAGGTCCCTTCCAACCTGACATTCTATGAAAATTTTTTTTCATGAAATTTCCTTTTAAAAACACTCATATCTTGTAAAAACCACTCTGTCGTGACACACTAAAATTGTAACTGTTTGGTGAGAAAATTCTTTTATTTCAGACTCTCTGCTAAGGACACACAGGACTTATGTGCACTTAAGGGTTTGCTAGGATTTCACTTGATACACCACAATGGTGGAATGGGACTTTCAGAGAACTAACCAAGGCATAATTAAAACAAACCCTAGACCCAACCCAAGTTTTCAAGAAATACTCATGTCTTTTGCAAGCTCCCTTAATGTCCTAATCAGCTTAAACCAACTCTAAATATAACTAAAGCATGACCAGCCAGCAAACTTCAAGGCTCAAAAGTACAACCAACGTGTTACAGAAAAATTATTTCTTAATCTAGGCAGAAAATACTTCATTTCAACTGCCAGTAAAATTGAAAATACTAAGAATTTCTCAGCTATATTTACTGCAATTTAGACCGGCAATCCATAGGGATCGCACTGCAGGTTCTGAGGAAACTCTTGAAGGGCAATTGGTAAAATCCAATAAACAAACCCATCTATCGTAATCATAACAGTAAACAAGTCTGGTGTGGTTTTTTGCTGACAGCATAAAATGATACATTTTTTTCTCAATTTTCACAACACAGGGACTACAACAGAAATGCATTTTGATTTAACATTAATGAAAAATCTTTTGCAGAGGTACTACAATAAAATACCAACAGCAGCAAATAGGGACAAACAAAACTCAAGAAGCTGGAATGTCACAACAGTTTCAGAGCTGCTGTGAAGCCTGCCTGCACCAGCAAAAACAAGTTTTATGGCAGAAATAAGATATTTGGATGTGTTCTGAGAGCTAGATCTATAGCATAGGGAAATGGGACTTTTACACAAAAAAGCAAGACTGGGGTTTTTTGACACTGGAATGTCCTGAAGCACTGAACACAGCATATGATTTTTCTTCTCTGCAGAAAGATATTTCTTTATATTAACTTTCTATTTATTTTTTTTTTTAAACCAATATAACAACTAGTGTGCACTCAAAGAAGCAGAGTACCCGACTGAAGAGTATTTTCATTTGTTAGACCACTTTAACTGGCCATAACACCCCTTCATAGTCCTGACGATGAAGAGAAAGACCTTGATGCACATTTTGATGAAGCTCAGGAAGTGCAGCAGGCTGCAGCTGCTCTGGGTGCTGGTGGCAACTCCCAAAGCCTCAGCTGTGCGTGGGTGGCAGGTGAGCCCCAGCAGCACGGGCGCCACGTGGCAGCTCGTGAAGAAAACTACAGAAGGTAATCAACCACCCTTGCAATATAAATCCAGCCTTTTTATGCCTCGTGAAACATTGCAAAACCTTGGATGGACCAGTGCAAGGGGCAATTTTTCTTTTTTGAACAATTCTCTGCTAAGGTTCCTGGATAAGAAATTATCAGACAGCAGCATGACCAAGAGCTCTGCTTATAGCCTTCATGTTTAATTAGCTACATAATGTAAACTTTGCAACATAAGTAGTAACACCCCTTTTCTCTTAAGTGCACTTCTTGGAAAGCAGCATCTTCAGCCCCTTTGGACTCCCATGCCTGACACAGCCGAAGATTGATCTGTGTAACAGAATTGGATAGATGCTGTGCAGAGCACTCAGTGTTTTTCAGGAGGTTCAGAAGAATTAAAAAGCCACAGCACAGCAGCAATTGCTCATGGTGCAGGTTTAGGAAAAGTGCATTAAATTATATTTGCATCGTAAGGGAGAAGTTATTGCTGCAGCCTCCTTAGTGCCCCTATAAATGCAGCAAAAGGAAGGGAGAGGTTAAGTAAAGCTAGGTGAGATGTTACTGAGCAGTACTGAGGCATTTCAGGCAAAACTGTTAAAACCACAGGTCAGTATTTTCAGACTGCGCTTCCAACACTTAGGCAGCCAACCCTGTGCGAGATCAATAAAGCAACCAGTTTACAACTTAGCAGAGAGAAAAAATTCTGGCTTACAAGTGGCTTCCAGTCAAGGGTATTTTGCTCCTTGTTGCCCAGGGCTGCAGCCATATCCAGCTGCAGCAAAGCCAACTAGAGTTTAACTCTTCTACAGCCCCAGCCACTTTCCACCATCACCACCACTCTACTGCAGATTACCATCCCCAGCTGCCAGCACAACACACTCACACAGGCTTGGTCCAAAGCAGTCAGGGGTTTCCTAAACTCTTTTAAATCAAATAAGTGTCTTAGAATAAAATAACTATTCAAAATAAAGAGCAATGTCCAGGTGCAGCCCTGAGGACAATAAAAGATGGGCAGCAAACTCTGGCGGGAGTGCAGCAGCAAGTATTTAAGCAGGCTGCACTCATCTCTGGGGCTGGTTCAGCCACAGTGAGAGAAGCTGTGTGACCACAGCCTCCTGAGATCAGAGCATGAATCAAGCTGGGAAATACCCATAAAGACAGTGGGTTGGTTTTAAATATGTATTTTCAACCCGGAAGTGTTCATTCCCCTGCTCTGCTCTGCGCAGTTTGCCTGGTGCTGTGGCTGTAAATGATGTTCAGCTCTGGCTGCTTCCACCCAGTCTCTCTGCATTCTTATGTCTGGGTTTAGGAACACTAGGGTAAGAGCAGGAACCCACTGTGCCAAGGGAAAAGAAAGGCAACAATGAAAGACTCAAATCCATACAGATTGCTGCTCTGTAATATTTCTGTGTTTTGACATCATCTAAGAAGAAAAATAAATAAATAAGTCTACTCTGTTAACTGGATTTCTCAGTGCATTTGTTTTACCCTCGGTTTTTAGACTCAGGTCTAAAATGACAAATGATCTGAGTGCTTGAATACATCTTCAAGGTACTGGCGATTAGGAGCTACCCCAGAACAAGACAGTTCTTCATGACTAGCTGAGCTTCCCCTGGAGAGCTCCAGAGGGCACACAGCATTAGCTTCTGCAGCAAGCAGCTGTTTCAAAACTACTTTTGGTTTTGTGAAAGTTATAGGTACGTTTGTGCATCATTAATATCCTTACTTTTCTACGCTGTTGCAAACATTTTCTAAAACAAGGTGTTTTGGAGTTTTGATAAATTAAATCATGCAAATAGGCAACCTGTTAGGAAAAAAAAACCCACAGAAAAAATAAATCCATTCAAATTTGAGAGATAGAGGGTTTTCTGTTTTGTAAAACCAATCAGATATTATTAAAGCATTTTCATGTGGCTATATGGGACAAAGTATATCCCTTCTATGTGCAAAAGCTTTAAAAATTATCTCAAGATACAAAAAATATACAATTCATCCTCTTACATAGTGTGATTAATGCAGAAGCCAATAAAATACAAGAATATAAAATCTTTTTTATAAAGTTTGAGTTAGTTGTTACATTTCCTTTTTTTGAGAAAATTAAGACATTTCACACAGAAGCAGAACCCACAGATGTAATGAAGTACACTGGTCTCCCAGAAGAAGTTTTAGCAGCTTGTAGAAAAAGGAGCCCAACCTTACTCACAATTTCCATGCCATATCTGAAAAGTAGTATTGAATGTCCTCCTAGCCATGTCCTCCAAAAATAAGACATGAGGTCTGCTCTCTCTGGTTTGCAAGCTGCCATACCCATGCAGGAGTTCAGTGCTAGAGACTAACTACACACCACAAATTAAAGGTATTTTTATTTCTCCCACATATTTACCTAGATGCATTTTACATAGTTTTCACATCTTCGCACTGTTCCAATTTCCAGGTTCTATTGGCTTCTCATAATTTATTATTTCTAAATGACCAAATTCTTTTTACAGGTTTTTTTTTCAGCTGGGAACCAGTATAAAAATTGTGCCCAGCACATGCTTTGTGTGTGAAGAGAACTGAAATTCACATGCAGATCAATCCCACCCAGCTAAATAAACCGTGCTGGTCTGCCTGTCCTCACAAGGTCAGGCAATGAAGCACTGGTTGTGCACACACAGGTAACTGATTAAATCATGTGTGTAACTGAGACAGAGCAAAACCTGTTTGGCCCAAAACTGTCACCCAAGTCAGAATATGATGGCACCAGAAAAGAAGCATGAGGTGTGGACACCAGTGGCTTTAAATAGTAACTTGTGGCAGTCCATGTCCTGGTCAGGAGATGAACCAGAAGACAGAACCACGCTCACTACTACACTCTTCATATTGAAGCAGCAACCAGTTAAGCTCCTGCTCTGTGCTCTTTTGATGAGCCACATGCTTTGGGTTGTAGCAGCATAGCTTGATGGCCTAAAAGGACAAGTATATATCAAATAGCCAGGTACAAGCCCCATACAGAGACCCAGCTCTGCAGCTGGTACCATTTGTGAGCTCTTGGCTTTCACTGGTTTTCATTGGAAACTGGCATTATCATTGACTAACACAGGTTAATGGGGCAGAAATAGACAAACCCACAATATCCCAAGCCAGTTATTGCAAAATATTAATACCAAAGGAACGTAACTCTATTTGAAATAATAATTTCAAGATTGGTGAGCAGATGTCATTCTCCTGTGATAGGTGAAAGCAAAAATACACACCATTAACAACTATGAGAAAAAGGTTTTAAGCCAGACCCCAACACCATGAAGTCATATTTTGATGGGAAATTAATTCCAGAGTCTAGAGGTGAAACACATACTTCATACCCTGGGGTGGGCATTTGGGACACAGAATTCTTGCTTGGCTAAACCTAAGGAGCAGATCCATGAAAAAAAAAAAATACATTTTGGCATTGGAATTACAGAGGATGAACTGGATC